GGGAATCCAGCAGTTGAATCAGTCTTAGTCGGAAAGCACGGGAGATCACTTCGCCCACTGCCTCATCGCCTTTGAAAATGCCCACCGCAGTTGTGCACGAAACGTCAGGAAGAAATTCCTAAATGTAATACCTATTTCGGTTGCTAAAAAAGCTAATTTATTAGATATGTGTCAGTGTATGAATCCGGTGTATCATCCTTTCTACGAAAATTTATTATCAGAATGAATTAATTTTGCCTATTAATTTAAAAACTTTTTCACAAGCTACTTTTAGTATCGGTATTTTCTGATGCATATAACGTAAGAGTTCTATTTTTATTTCGATTCTATTTGTAAGTTGCAGCGCAGTTACAACGTTCTTCTACGTATTTTGTGTGTGACATGCTATGCAGCCTAAACTATGGGTAAATCGCGTCAAATGTTTGCTAACATCATAAAAGAAGGTTATAACTGTCACGATCGCACAACGTTTTTCCATTTTGAAGTGCATTTGCAATTCCCTTATTTCTCTATTTAAGGGATATACAGTTTTTTGCCCTACCTGAAATTTCGATAAAATGTGAATTACAAGGTTGTTCGTGCCGACTCTTCAATTGACGGCATGAAAAAATCTCTAAAACTATTTCACAATTCGAAAGGATTGTCGTTATAATATACTTACAGAGTCGTACAATGGGCTGCAGTCACCAGCCACCGGTTACTAATAATGGATGCACCACAGAGATGAGTGTGGAAAAAATGTAAAGAAGCCATGTAAGGGTGGGTTTCTATATTTGTGTCTTCGCCTCCAATAATCCTATTACCTCGGATTTTATCGATGTTTATCGAAAAGGAAATGTCGCCTTAAATCAAAATTTAAACCGGTATTTTATACAAAATATGTACATAGAATTGATGGAACACAAAATATTTTCAAAAAATTTAGCATGCCTTCTCACAAAAGCACTGACCATTTTATCAAATGCCTATTTTACTTATATTATTATAAAAAAATCGTTTTTGAAAGGTACAGTTTAAATCTGTAAAGAAGGTTCAGTTTTTATAAATTTTAAAACAAAGAAGGCATGTTCTAATCCAAGTTATTCTTAAAGCGTATTCGAATCCAAATGATTGCACGGAAACTAAGTTTCGTTGAAGTAAGTACACAATTTTAACTAGAACTCATCTTAATCTGGTCATTAGAACATTTACATTAGATACCCAACTACTTCAATAAATTCTTTACGGCGCATTTTTTCCCTCATAATACAACTTCTGCTGAAAAATTTACAGCCTAGGTAAACAAAAAAAACAGCAACACTCCTAATGAATAATGGCTTGTCTTGCAACATAAATTCAATCTACAGGATTATTGAATGAACTTTGCCCACCATATTTATACTTCTAATTTAAAATTTAGGAATAGATTTTAAATACAAATTCAAATACAAGTACGTCTAGATATTAACGTCTACTTTATTTAACGATAATGTCAATTGATATTAGGTGTTTCAGATTCAAGTCACAAACTAAACTTACACTTTTTAAATGGCATGCTCTAATTTTTATTGCATATTCGAACTATGCGTAAAACTCCAAGAACTATTCGATATAAATGTTCCATAGTAACTTTCACCTTTTTGGGGTAATAACCAACACTGATTAAGCTTTGGTGTGTTTATGTGGAAATCCTGTGAAGCTTAGAAACGATCAGAGAGCTTCGAATATAGGATGAAACGACGTAAAAACGACCCCTGCAAGAAATAAGATTACGAGAAAGGATAAGAGTAGCATACTGGAACAATAGATTGTAAAATAAGAGAGACCAATAGATACTTATCGAAATGAATACCCAGAGAATCGGAATATGTGCACTCTCAGAAGCCCGAAAAAGAGGAAAAGGAAAAACAATACACCAACATTTTTTGGTTACATGTAATGAGAAATATGATAAGAACATAGAGGACATGGAATGCACAAGCCAGAGAATCCTAAAAACAACCTTAAACTTGACAAGCAGCAAACTTCATATTGTAGCAGTATATGCTCCTGACATAAGTAAACGGGAATTCGAACCGGAATATTTTTATAACACTTTACAAGATGTGTTGAATAAGAGGAACGAAAAACTCGTAACACTTGGAGACTTGAATGAGAGAGTGGGAAGTAATGACATGGACAATATCAAACAACGGTTTAATGAAGAATTATTAAACTAAAACGGATAACTTGTTATTAAATTATCCGCTCAAAATGTTCTAAGATTAAGCGACACTTATTCTCCATTCGTTCTCCCATAAACGTCAACAAAAGTCCACATGGCAAAATACACAGCGTCAGCGTTCAACAATAAATTACATAATAACTAACAGAAAAATTTTACGTGAAAAAAATCTTTAAGTCATAGCCTCGACATTTCCCAATATAGGGACAGATAATAAATAAGTGCTAGACAAAATTTTAATCAAGATCCCACCAAACAAGATAACATGCCCCAGTTATGCCGAAAAGTTAAAGAGAGTGGAACGAGTTTGTAGAGGACCAAACCACGGATACTGCAATGTTATAGTTTCAGCTATGCGGTTAAGCCCATGTCCTAAGCAGGTGCAATGGATTAAATTATAATTATTTTTTCTAAGACTTGATGCAGCCTTAATCATGTATGCTGCTGTGCCGGAAAGCATCAATACAATTTTTTCATTTGGAACCAACTCGGGCAATATATATATTGTAACGGAAATGGCCTGGGGTACTCACGTTTGGAATGGGGGATCGAAATTCATGGTATTTCAGTAAATGGGAGCCCCATTTGGG